AAGATTCTGCAACTTCAAACATTAAATAATGTGGCAGCAATTTAAGTTCTTAAACTTGTCTTTATGCACCATGATATTAAAGATTAGGGAGAATGATAATAGTTAAATGTAAAAGAATACGTTGTGTATTGATCTGTGTCAGGGAGTTACAATATATAGAGATCCTAATGGGCTTAAGTGTAAGGCCCAAACCTAATCCAAACCTAATCCTAATACAGTCAGAATACAGTCAGACTATTTACGGATAAGACAGAATCCAATCATATCTAATCAAATCTAATCATATCATATCTAATATTCTAACACTCCCCCTCAAGCTGGTGCGTATATATTATGAGCACCAAGCTTGTTACAAATGTATTCAACCCGAGGACCTCTAAGAGCTTTAGTGGAAACATCTGCTAGTTGATTAGATGAGTTGACAAAAGCTGTCTTGATTTCTCCTGACTGAATCTTTTCCCGAATGAAGTGACAATCAATCTCTATATGTTTGGTCCTCTCATGAAAAACAGGATTAGAGGATATATGTAGCGCAGCTTGATTATCACAGATGAGTGTCATGGGTTGTTTCTGTTCACAAAGATGAAGCTCCTGAATCAACTGCTTTAACCAGATCAACTCACAGGTAGTATTTGCCATTGCACGATACTCAGCTTCTGCACTAGATCGGGAAACAACAGGTTGTTTCTTGCTTTTCCATGAGATTAAGTTTCCTCCGAAGAAGACACAATAACCAGAAGTAGAGCGTCTGTCCGAGGGTGATCCTGCCCAATCGGCATCTGAGTAACCACAAATTTCTGTATTTCCCTGATCCGAATACAACAAACCTTTTCCTGGTGCTCCTTTGATGTATCGGAGGATCCTCACAGCAGCATCCCAATGTGAATCACAAGGGGAATCAAGGAACTGACTGGCCGTACTGACAGCGAAAGAAATATCTGGCCTAGTCACAGTAAGATAATTGAGCTTCCCAATCAGCCTTCGATAACGTCCAGGATCAGATAACGGCTCCCCCTGTCTGGGCAATAACTTAACATTAGGATCCATTGGTGTATCAACTGGCTTACACGCCAACATACCAGTCTCTTCTAGGATATCCAAGGCATACTTCCTTTGACAGATAGAAATGCCCTGTCTAGATTGTGCTACCTCAATTCCCAAGAAGTAACGCAGCTTCCCAAGGTCCTTTGTTTGAAATGCACTGAATAAATGTTGTTTTAACTGATGGATTCCGTCTTGATCACTCCCGGTGAGAATGATGTCATCAACATAGACTAACAAATAGATGCACTTATCAGGAGATGTGATCCTATAGAACACAGAGTGGTCAACTTTACTGCGAATTAGGCCAAACTCCTGAACAGCAGAACTGAAGCGACTGAACCATGCTCGAGGAGACTGCTTGAGACCATATAAGGATTTTCGAAGACGACACACCTTCCCAGGCTCCCCCTGAGCAACAAAACCAGGTGGTTGCTCCATGTAAACTTCTTCTTGTAAATCACCATGAAGAAAGGCATTTTTTATGTCAAGTTGAAGGAGTGGCCAGTGACGAACAGCAGCAAGGGCAAGAAATAGGCGGACGGACGCCATCTTAGCGACCGGAGAGAATGTATCGCTATAATCAAGGCCGAATATTTGAGTAAAACCCTTTGCAACTAGGCGGGCCTTGAGTCGATCAACATGGCCATCAGGTCCAACTTTCACAGTAAACACCCAGCGACAACCAACTGTAGACTTCTGTGGAGGAGCAGAAACAAGGTCCCAAGTGCCATTGGAATGAAGTGCAGTCATCTCATCAAGCATCGCTTGGCGCCACCCTGGATGGGAAAGTGCTTCACCTGTGGTCTTAGGAATAGAAATAGAAGAAAGACTAGAAACAAAGGTGAAATGAGGTGAAGAAAGACGGTCATAGCTCAAAAAAGTATAAAGAGGATAAGGATTACGAGTAGTACGAGTACCTTTTCTTTGAGCAATGGGAAGAGCCTCTGGTGAAGGATCCGGAGAGGAAGAAGCAACAGCAGTGGGCGATGAGTCAGCAAGAGTCGAGTCGACAGGAGGCATAGTTTTGCGACGTTGATAGGTGAGAAGTGGACGGTCCTCAGGTATAGAAGCAATAGGTTGCTCATTTGGAATAGAAGCACCTGCAGCTGGCAAAGACAAGTCAAGAAAAGGGACAGGAAGAACATGATCAACCTGTGACAACTGAGATGGAATAGAATTAAAGGGTTGTTGATCAAGAAAAGTGACATCAGCGGAAACTAAGTAACGCTTAAGATCGGGAGAATAACAACGATAACCCTTTTGAAGACGAGAATAACCAAGAAAGATACACTGAAAGGCTTTGGATGTTAACTTATCCTTACCAGGAGTGAGATTATGAACAAAACAAGTACAACCAAAGACATGTGGAGTTAGAGGATAAAGAGGAACATCTGGAAGCAATAGGTTATGAGGAATGTCATTGTTGAGCACAGATGAGGGCATGCGATTGATGAGAAAACAAGAGATGAGTACAGCATCTGCCCAGAAGTGAAGGGGAACCTGCATATGAAGAAGAAGGGTACGTGCAGTTTCAATGAGATGTCTGTTTTTACGTTCAGCCACCCCATTTTGTTGTGGAATGTGAGGACAAGTAGTTTGATGTAAAGTACCTTGTGTGGCCAATAAATTAGAAAAATCAATAGAAACATATTCCTTAGCATTATCACTACGTAGAATACGAATAGAAACACCAAATTGAGTATGAATCTCAGTATAAAACTTTTTATAAATGGAAAATAACTCAGAACGATTTTTCATTAAATAGACCCAAGTGCAACGGGAAAAATCATCAATAAAGGTAACGAAATACCGAAAACCTAAAACAGACAAGGTACGACTTGGACCCCAGATATCTGAATGAACAAGAGAAAAAGGGGCATCAGCTCGTTTATTGACTCGATTGGCAAAAGAGGAACGTGTATGCTTCCCTTGTTGACATGACACACAATCTAAAGACTGAAGACCGGATAAAAGAGGAACCATTTTCTGCAACTTCGAAAGACTTGGATGACCGAGGCGACTGTGGATAAGTTGTGGAGATTCTGTGAGAGAGAGTGCCACTGAAGGACGAGGCACATCCAGATAGTAAAGCCCCCGTGACTCACGACCCACTCCAATCATTTCCCCCGTACCCGGATCCTGCACAGAAACAGAATGGTTAGAGAAAGTAATGGTGCAAGTGAGGGAATGGATCAACTTACTAATAGAAATTAAGTTATAAGGGATGCCAGGAATGTAATAAACAGATGTCAAGGCCAAGGTAGAGGTCGGACGAGCTTGTCCAATCCCACGAACTGGGGCTTTGGTTCCATCCGCAAGGGTAAAAGAAGGTAAATGATCAGAATAAGTAAGAGATGTAAAAAGTTCCTTATTACCACAGAGATGATCGGTAGCACCTGAGTCAAATATCCAAGTGCCAAGTGATGTAGAATGAGAAACACAAGCAACGGGATTACCAGTATATGGTTGAGACTGAGGAGAAGCTTTCTTGAGAAGAGTTTGGAGTGCAGCATAGTCCGCAAGTGAGAGAGAAACTGAACCAAATGATGCATTGTCTGACTGAGCTATATTCGCAGCAAGAGAGGTAGAATCCTCCGAGAGATCAGTGGACGCTGCTGCCATTTAAAAACAGAATATAAAAGCCGTAAACGAAGGCAAACGATATCCAATCAAGGAGAACCACGCGTCTAAAGTGAGACCCACAAAGAACCAAGCACAGATCCAGAAAGAGGAGAAGAAGGCGAGAAGTTCTGTCCAAGAACGGCCGGAAAAATCCACCGGAACAGTGCACACGCGCCGGTTGAAGGTGGCGCGTGAGCACCACGCGCAGAGGAGAAGAACGGCGCGTGGAGGCGCGTTGATGACGCGACGGTGGTCGGACCACCACAGAACTGGTCGCCGGGATGAGACGGTCCTGATTGCAGGTAGTCTGGGCTGAAAACTCGCCGGAACAGTGCTCTGGTGGCCGGAACAGTGACGAGCGGCGGTTGTTGGCGGCCGGAAGTGGTTCCGGTGGCCTGAACAGTGACGAGCGGCGGTTGTTGGCGGCGGGAAGTGGTTCTGACAGTTGAAGAAACAAGCCGGAGAGACACACGGCTTAGAGAGAAACTCGCCGGAAGAATGCACGGTAAAGTAGAAGAGAACACCTAAGCAGTGGGCTTAGGGTTTTAGCGGAAGCGGATCCCCAGAGCGAAAAAGCTCTGATACCAAGTGAAATGTAAAAGAATACGTTGTGTATTGATCTGTGTCAGGGAGTTACAATATATAGAGATCCTAATGGGCTTAAGTGTAAGGCCCAAACCTAATCCAAACCTAATCCTAATACAGTCAGAATACAGTCAGACTATTTACGGATAAGACAGAATCCAATCATATCTAATCAAATCTAATCATATCATATCTAATATTCTAACAATAATAAAGGACCAGCCTATGCTTCATTCTTAAAAAAAAAAGACCTATGAACACTAGATTAACCACTCTATGACAAGTTTAACCACACCTTTTTTGTAAACATTTTAAAAAATTGATCCTTTATTTTAATTCTCCCAATAAATTAACACTTGAAAGAAGAAAGACTGAATATTATTATTTCTCAAGTTATCATGTAGAAAGGGTTACAATATATAGAGACTGATGGGCAAAATGGCCTAAGAGAATAAACCCCAAGCCTGAAATGATAATAAGGAAATACTAAATTAGGAAATACAAATAATTACAAATATTTGCAACAATAACACATTTTAGCAAGTTAGCGTTTACAAGAATAAAAATACTATGAACAACTCTAAAAACATTTGGATGCATGCTGCGTTTTCTTGTGGCTCTTTGAATTGCAATTTGTTAGGAAAGGATAATCTAGCAAGGGAACAAGTCTCGGGTGACAAATGCCCAGAATGTTTGGTACTACTTTGAAATCACTTAGGTCCAGCCTTCAGTAGGGTAATACCAACTTGTTTAAACTAGATTACAGAAATTTTCAAGTAAACAAATTTTGCTTCAGACATTTTTAAATGTTCTGGGCTGGATATAATGTATTTATTACTCAAGTAATTGTCAATACAACCTTCAATTGAGAATGAGCCTTTACATCAAACAATTCCGACAAAGCTAATTTCGATATTCTTTAAGGCATAACAGACATACTGCAACTCATGTTTAAAAAAAAATGACAAGATTCTTATCACAAAAGACCACACTAGAAGTCACTCAGGGCTTCTCAAATAAGAGATACAAAAAGAAACAGCCAGAACAGTTTAGAAGACTTGCTTGATATGGCTTGCTGTACGCTTTTTCGGTAGTCTACAAACATAGTTGGTAAAAAGTGGTCCTTCACAAAGTTCTCCACAAAAGCTAGCAACCCATCATTCCTGCAATTCACAAAGTTGACAACACCACAAACTAACATTAATGAGTTAGAAAGCAACAAAACTTGAGCTTGAAAAGATGTTTCGTTATTTGTTCAGAATCAATCAGCAGGAGATTATGCAGAGATAATATAAATATAAGCATAGTCAGTCAACACCATATGTAAAATTTAAAAACATAGAGCAGCAACCATAGGAGCAGCTTCCTAATTTCATTCTATTTCCTTATTTTGATTACGGTTAGAAGTCTATTGCATTAGTTGCCTTGGGCTTCTACCAATAGTATTACACTAGTACTAGACCTAATTCTTAGTATAAATTAAGTAGGTGTTAGTGCGTAGTATTTTACACACACCAAGTCAATCCAATCGAACATTATTCAGAGCCTCCTCTCTCTCTTTTTCTACTTTCATATCTAAACCCTATAATTTTAATATGGTATTAGAGTCTCTATGACCAAGTGGACAAGTGAAGAAAGAGAAAGATGGCAAACAATTTAAGTGTGTTTTATTTTGTCATTGACAAGGAAAAGATTTATTACTTTTCAACCACATCTTTGGTTCCTGTTCTACATCATAACAGATAAAGAATATTCAGAAAACCAGACTTGACTAGCCAATTTAACCAATTAGCTGGGAACCAGACTATGTAATAGATTGATTAATATTAACATCTCTGCCTTGCATCTACTATCTTTCACATTAATTTTCTTTTTTACAAATAAGTTTCTTTCAACACTTTACCTCAACAAAATACTCAATTCATTCTGCTCCTAAATAAGCATTACATACTAGAAAAGTTAGTACTTGTTAAGAGATATAATAAAATCATTCATGTGCTTTCACTCAACAGCTAAAGTTTTTGGAAAAGTTGGTTGCATGACATGGTATCAGAGCCTATGACCAAGTGGCTTCAAGATCGATCCTTGTCGCCCTCGTTATCAAATAAAAAAAAGTAAGTTAAATTTCAGAACAAGGCAAACCAAAAATTGGGCTTGTGCATTATCCACGCTTCAAAACCCAAAAAGGTTCTCACATGAGGATATGTGTTAAGAGACATAATAAAATCATTCTTGTACCTTTACCTAACAACTTAGTCTTTTGGGAGAGTTGGTTGCATGACTCTACTAAACATTCAATGCAGAATCCAACAATGTGCCACAATAGCAATGTTGGATAAAGTAAAATGAATAAGCACATATCTAGGGGTGGAAATTTTCAACACGACTTGCTAATAGAACACAACACGAAAAATTCGTATTCTGATCAACTCGTTTTCAAATTCGTGCCGTGTTCGGTTTGGCAAAAACTGACCCAAAAAAATTCGTGTGGTGCCGCGTGTCAACCTGCGAACTCGAAATTCGCCTGCATTAATTTTCTTACAGGTCATTCGTGTCATGTCGTAAACAAGTTATTCGTGTCTTATCGTGTTGTGTCAACCAGCAAAATAACTTGATTTCAAACTCGTGTCGTGTTTGTGTTGAGCGTATTCATGTTCGTGTCGAATTTGTGTCGTGTTGTGTCGGGTCTGGTCGTGTCAAATGGAATTGCCACCTCTACTTCATCTCCACTTATCAGGACACACAAAAAGCAACATTTTAGTTACACATAATTTTTTATTAAGAGAAAAAAAAAGTGAACAAAAACGAGGCATTTTGGTTTCACACACGAAATAAAAAAATATAACAAACAAGAAAAAGTGCAATGGTTTTAAGCTCACCCAAGCTGGGAGTACTTTGTTGGCAGCATTGAGGCAACTTTGTCCGTAAACTGCACAAAGAACCAGGTCAGGAATAAAGTATAAGGAACATCATCAAAACTTTACAGGAGGGAGTTCAGCAATCCAATATGCAACACCTGAAGCACAGGACGGTATACGGATGCCGCTAAATATATGCCTTCTTCAGGCAAAACTGCTGCAGAACCATAACCCTCTTGCAGCACATTGGGACCCTTCCTACTCCATCCTTGGCGAACTAGATCAACTCCTGAATATTAATGTAACCAGCCATAGATGTTGAAAATGAGAAAAGAAATTAACAGCTAAATAAACAAGTAAAAGATAAATAATAAAAATAATATGAAAAAACTGCTATAATCTAAGATGTTAAAATTAAGACAATGACCAATCATTTGAGCATAAACTGCAAGTAGAGAATAAAAATATTGTCAAAAATTAAGTAAAATAAATTATTCTATATGAAACTTCAGTAAGTGGTTTACAAATTAAAAGCAACTGTGGACAAGGTCAAGCTCAGAAAAGCATACAAATAAAAATGGAATATCTTCATTAACTGAAAGAGAAACAATGTAGAATTGTAGACAGATATATAGCCAGAAGGCAAATGTTCCCAATATCAGCACTTGCTCATTTGTGTTTTATCCAAAATTACTAGTAGTCTTGAATATTAATAATTTGCTTATCCAGATCACAAATAAGATTCATATGACAGCAGCTTTACTCATGTTAACATAAAAAATTGAAAGGAAATGGAATAGAAAAACATACCAAAAATGCTGACAAACACAAAGTACATGCACAAATATATATGAATTTTTCGTTTCTCTTTGCCATTGCAACTTTTTCTTTCCATCAAATAAACCACACAAAATGCCCAACTGGCTTCTTTTTCTGGTATAGACAAGATAATTTATTACAGAGAAAAGAAAAAGTATAGCCCCGAGGAAAAGACATCAATATCAACATCAACAACATCTTTATCCTAAATTAGTTGGGGTCGATGGCAGATGAACCCAAACGAAAATACGAAAAGATTGAGAAAAAAAGATAAAAATAGAATTTAAAATATATATAACATTGTTCATAAAAAAAAATAGCAATAAACAATTAAAAGGAAAAACAAAGATAAATAAGAGGACAAAAAAGAATAAGAAAGGAAAAAAAAAATAGAGGGATAAAAATAAATAAATAAATAAAGAAAAAGGAAATACATAAGTAAATAAGAGAAGAAAAATTGAGAGGAAAAAAAAAAGAAATAAAAGAAAAGAAGGATATGAAAGGAGAAATAAAAGAGAAGAAAGATTGCAAGGAAAAGACATCCTTTGAAAAAAAAAAAATCTAAACACAAGGACTATTTAAAACTAAAAATGCAGCAAGGCTACCCAATCTATCTGCATACAAGAAACTTTGATATGACTAACTCTTCCTAAAAGTTTAAGTTGTTATTTAACTATAATAATGTTTAAAAAAAAGAGAGAAAAAAGCTATTGATTGAGGTAAAAGCCACAAAACACAAATGATACATACAATAGAGTTATTTGTGAGTTATGATGCTTAGCCAATCCGAAGTGCATCATTTTAGTCTTTACGAACCACACAATCACATGTTCATCCAGTGGATGACAACAATCCACACAATAATAGTGTAACAAAGTTCTAATTTATTTTTTTGTTACTAATGAGTAGCAGAAAGCTAAAGAGTAATGACACTTAAACAGACCTTATCCTGACAAACCCTTTACAAACTCCAAAGTAGACTCATCTGGACCATTCAGAAAAAAGTTACTGTGGGACTGAGGTGATAACCAAATCCAACAAATTGCACGTGAGTTTGTGCGGATAAAGTCTTTGTAAGTATCATTTCCCACAGCTAAATTATCCGAAATATTGTGTCAATGAATCTAATTAAAGCCAATAGAAGAGATCCTTCTTTTATAAAGCCATTGGTACACTTCTAGTGTTCATAATTTTTGCAAATCATGCAAGCTTGATCAAAATCAAAATAGCATATCTTAATAGTAAGTCATAAATTTGCTATACTCCTTTATTGGAACTTATCATACCCTGGTTAGGAATAGATATTGTAGCATCGGTAAAGCGAAATGCAAAGGTAAGACCATCTTCTGATCCATCCCTGTAATCAATAAGAAACGTTATTCATTAACTACATGATACAAATTTGCCTTGAGAGATAAATATTATATTTTCTCGGGAAATTAAATTTTCCCTTTTTCATTTTCTCTTGATAAACCCAGGAAGCAGCCTCTTTGCAATTATGTAAGGGTAAGGCTGCGTACAAGGATTTCCTCCACCCCATACTAGCTAGTCGGGTTTAATGGGGAGTTTTTTTTATTATTCTGAGAAAAAATGCAGCACTGAACTTATAACCTAAAAGCAAAAGGCGTGCATTTGATGCCTAAGACTTCCCATTTTTGAGAGGGATGAATTCCTTATTTTGTTTTTATCTTAGCTCACGGAAGATATATGTAGATTGACTTCTGAGAAAGAAAATGCACAAATAGATCATTTAGCATTTGGGCTTAGAAATGTGTGTTGATATGAATGGCTTAATACGGCATTTTATGCATGTCAATGTGCATCATTTTTTTGTTAAGCTGTCCTTTCAATTCTAACAGAAAAAAAATCAGTTCAGAGATAACTTAACTAGGGTGGAACAGGTCAGTGCCCAATGACCTGGATTACTTTTCCCCCAAAGGCTTGTGATGAAATTCTTAGCAACAAAGGGATTGGATGGCTTCATTGTACTGAGGTCATTGTTTCCTTTTTCTATGTTTCTTCTTCGCATCATTGCATGGGACAATACCTTACAATCCTTTAATTTACCTTTATAATAACATTCTGATAAGGCCCAACCCATGAAAGTTTATACCAGAGATAAAAAACAGGAAGGTTTAGGCTGTTAATGGGTTGGCCCATAAACAAATTGGAGGGAGGGAATAGTTATTAACATATGTAGGGCAGGTTGTTAGTGGCCAGGTCAGCATTGGCAGGACCCATTAAATGATGCTGAGCGTGAGTTAGTGAGCATCTTGGGAGAATTCTGGACTTGGGAGAGAACCAGAGCCTCTCCAATTGCTCTGGGTATTTTGTGGATTGTTTCCTCATTTTTTACCTTTCCCTTTCAAATGCCGTCTTATCACATACCCATTGTTTGTACTGGATTTATTGGGAATATTGATATATAAGCCTCAGATAGTTGATTGTCTCTTAATTTTCATTAAATCTGTGACTGGTATCTATTGCATTCCTTTTATTTTATTTTATTTTTTTTAAAAAAATAACATTGATAGCAATAAACTAATATGTGACAACCAGCATTTATTTGAGTTGCAAAACATATGCTTCTCTATTAGAAGATCAATAGTGGATCCAAAACATAGTTTTCTGCAATAATAATTTGCTTTGAGTTCCTTTCATTATCTTCTTAATTCTTATGCCAGCTTCTTAGTAGATTTCTTGATTCTTAGGTTTTGGAAACTTGTGTAGCAAAAGGACACCTATACTATTAGATATGTAGTTGTAGCTATTAGATATGTAGTTGTAGCTTCTTTAAATGTGCCTGCATGTATCAGATACTTTTCCTAGATCTGTTAGGTGTTAGCTGTCCGTTATCATTGTATTCAGTTAGTTAGATCATCACTCTATATATAGTGATAGAGTGCACATTGTACATTCAGATTACATAATACAATTCTTACATTCTCTCTCTCTTTCTCTCATCTATGGCTTCTCTCAAGAACTCGAATATGGTATCAGAGCTCTCTCTTTCTGCGGTCCTGATCCATTTTTGTGCTCCACTATATCTTCCGCATCGAACACCAACAACAACACTTCAACAGAAAATAGCGTTCCAGCATCTTCTAGGTCGAACAAAGATTCAACACAAATGGAGAATCGTTCACCACTTCTATTCAATCATCAAATCACTGTGAAGCTCACTGAAAACAACTATCTGTTCTGGAATCAAATAATCGAACCTATTATCACTTCACACCAACTTCATCGTCACCTGGTGAATCCAAAGATTCCAGTACAGTTTGCATCTGATGAAGATCGTGAGAACGAGATCCAAAATCCAGAGTATGTGCAATGGATTACACAAGATTCAATGTTGTTGTCTTGGCTTCTATCAACAATCTCAGAATCTGTTGTCAATGAAATTCTTGGAGTCAAATATGCATACGAAGCTTGGGACAAAATGCACAAGCTCTTTCATGGAGTGATGAAATCTAGATCTCGTCAACTGTGCTCAGAACTAAGAACCATTAGGAAAGGTAACAGATCTGCAAAGGAATACTTGTCTCGAATCAAAAGCCTATGTGACTCATTAAAGGCTATAGGAAATCCAGTCACAAATGAAGATAGAACAGATTACATACTGGAAGGACTTCCAGTCGAGTACAATGCTTTGGTAACAACCGTTCATGGAAGAGAAAATCCTTACTCCGTTGAGGATCTGGCTATAGAGTTGATGACACATGAACAGATGCTGTTGAAATAGAGTGAATCCCTTCTTGACTCTGTCACTGTGAATGTAGCTCAAAAACAGAGCAACACTGCTGAGACAACTCCTCTGTTTGCCCCTGTTTTAGCGAATCAAGAACAGAGCACTGGTAAGGTCTCTGAACAGATTGGTTTTGTTAATACTCTTCGCTCTAATGACTTCAACAGAGGACGAGGACGATATATTGAAAGAAATAATAGAGGTAGAGGCCGTGGGAATAGACAAAACGTTCATTGTCAGCTCTGTTACAGATATGATCACGATGTGAGATCTTGCTGGCATCGTTTTGATGAAGACTTCACACCCACACTTCCACCTCCACAGAGTTCATCAAACGGTCAATTCTTTGCTCAAAATCAGACTCCACAAGTCCAGCAGCGAAATTATCAGTATGTTCGACCTGATTATCAGTATGTTCGTCCAGTTGCTACTGTACCTCAAGCTATGATGACTGTACAGCCAGGATTGCTTCCAACTCCAGTTTCTTCTCCAGCTATTGAGTGGTATCCAGACTCAGGTGCTTCACATCATGTTACTGCAAACCCAATGAACTTGATTCAGAGTCAACAACTAAGTGGCTCTGATCAGGTCATCATTGGTAATGGGCAAGGTTTGAACATTAAAGCAATTGGATCTTCAAGTTTTCTGTCACCTTGTGATTCTAATACAAGTTTGCATCTTAAAAACCTTTTGTTAGTTCCTTCCATTATGAAAAACCTTGAGTGTCAGTCAATTTGCCAAAGATAATTGTGTTTATTTTGAATTTCATCCCAATGTTTGTTTTGTCAAATCACAGGTATCTCATAACATCCTTCTCCGAGGAGTGCTTGGAGATGATGGTCTGTACAAGTTCTCAGACATCTCTCTTCCTTTGAAATCTGCTCCTTGCACTCTGCCATCCACAACTTCTAGCTCAGACAACACCTTTTCTCGTGCTATTTCACAATGTAATCATGTTCACAGTGTCAATAAAACTGTCAATCACACTGATCAGTCTTGTAATAGTGATAGACAATCATGTATGCCTTCAGATTCTGCATTTTTCTTATGGCATTGCCGTCTAGGGCATCCTAATCATGTAACTTTGACAAAGGTGCTTCACTCTTGTAACATTCCAGCTTCAAATAAAATTGTCAGTGAATTTTGTTCATCTTGTTGTCTTGGTAAGGCACATAGACTCCCCTCATATCCCTCTCTGTCTGAATATGATACCCCATTTGCTCTACTTTATTGTGACCTTTGGGGACCAGCTTCTTTCACATCAACCATGGGATACACTTATTACCTCTCAATTGTTGATGCCCATACCAGATACACTTGGATTTATTTACTGAAACAAAAATCTGATGCTTTTCCTACATTTAAACAATTTCACTCATTGGTAACAACTCAGTTTCAGCTACCTATTAAGGCTTTACAAACAGATTGGGGTGGGGAATTCAGATCCTTTTCTGATTATCTTAAACTCAATGGCATTACTCATAGAGTTGCATGTCCACACACTCATCACCAAAATGGTGTTGTTGAACATAAACATCGTCATATTGTTGAAACGGGACTGACATTATTGTCTCATGCCTCCTTACCACTAAAATTCTGGGATTATGCCTTTCTTTCAGCAGTATATTTAATAAACAGATTACCCACTGCATCTTTACATTTTGATGTTCCTTACACAAAATTGTATAAGCAAAAACCAAACTATCAGTTTCTTAAAACCTTTGGGTGTGCATGTTTTCCCTTTTTGAGGCCTTACAACAGATACAAACTTGAGTTTCGTTCTCAAGAATGCTTGTTTCTTGGCTACTCCACAAATCACAAAGGTTATGTCTGTTTAAGTAGAGAAGGCAGAGTCTATATCTCCAAGGATGTATTATTCAATGAATATAAATTTCCTTATCATTCTTGGATGACACCAGAATTAGTCCCACTCCTCCAATCATTCCAGTTTCTGCTCAAATTCCTCTTGTGTCTCCTCATTCTTCTACTTTTACTCATACTTTGTCACCTGTACAGTCTCAGTCACCTATCCTGAGCTCTCCTTTGCAGTCCAACTCTCAATCTGATTCCTCTTCTTCCTTTCACAACCCTCTTCCTGCCCAAACAGTGCAATCCTCTTCTACTCCCTCCTCTACTTCTTCTTCTTCTTCTTCTTCCTCAGTCTCTGAATATATTCCCCCAAACTCCTTACCAATAATTTCACCTCCACACTATTCAGACCAGATCTAAGACAGCAGCCCGATCCATTGCTCTCCTTGCTCATATTGAACCATCTACTGTGAAACAAGCTCTAACCAGTCCCCCTTGGTTTGAGGCCATGCAAGCTGAGTATAATGCTTTAATGACTAACAATACATGGACTCTTGTGTCTCTGCCTCCCAACAGGAAATCAATTGGCTGCAAATGGGTTTTTAAAGTTAAAGAAAATCCTGATGGTTCTGGGAATAAATACAAGGCTAGACTTGTGGCTAAGGGATTTCATCAACAAGAAGGATTTGACTACAATGAAACCTTTTCACCTGTAGTCAGACCTGTCACCATTTGAATAATGCTCACTCTTGCTCTCACTCACTCACTCCTGGTCAATTTGGCAGTTGGATATTAATAATGTTTTTCTCAATGGTGACTTACAAGAAGATGTCTACATGTCACAGCCCCCTGGGTTTGAAAATTCTAATAAGAGCTTAGTTTGCAAGCTCAATAAAGCATTGTATGGGCTTAAACAGGCTCCTAGAGCATGGTTTGACAAACTAAAAGGTGCTTTAGTACAGTTTGGGTTCCGATCAAGCTGTTGTGACCCTTCCTTGTTCATTTCCAAAACATCTTCTCACTGCACTTACATCCTTGTATATGTTGATGACATCATTGTGACTGGTACTAATGCTTCTTATATTCAGCAACTGATTCAGCAGCTTCATTCTCAATTTGCACTAAAGGATCTTGGCAATCTTGATTATTTTCTAGGTGTTGAGGTTAAGCCTCATTTTTCTGGTGGCTTGGTGCTGTCCCAGTCTAAATATATACGTGATTTACTTACTAGAGCTGATATGTTTGATGCTAAAGGAATTTCTTCTCCCATGCTTTCTCACTGTAAACTCTCACGGTTTGGATCACACTATTTTTCAGATCCTCATCTCTACAGATCAGTTGTGGGTGCTCTTCAATATGCAACCATCACTTGCCCTGAAATTAGTTATGCTGTCAATAAGGTTTGCCAATTTATGGGTTAGCCTTTAAATGACCACTGGAAAATTGTGAAGAGAATTTTAAGATACTTAAAAGGGACTATTACCTTCGGCCTTGTTCTTCAAAAGGCAAATCCTCAGCTTCCCTTTACTCTCACTGCATACTGTGATGCAGATTGGGCAAGTGACCCTGATGACAGGCGTTCTACTTCAGGGGCAGCTCTCTTCTTGGGTCCTAATCTTGTTTCTTGGTGGTCCAAGAAGCAAACTCTTGTAGCAAGGTCCACAACTGAAGCTGAATATAGAAGTTTAGCACTTACTTGTGCTGAAATCTTGTGGATTAAGTCTCTTCTTTGTGAATTACAAGTCTCCTTTGATACTCCACATGTTTTCTGTGATAACCTTAGCGCAGTGGCTCTCTCTCATAATCCTGTTCTGCATGCCCGCACAAAGCACATGGAACTGGATATATTTTTTGTTCGAGAGAAAGTTCTTGCACATGAGATTATTGTTCATCATATTCCTGCCTCAGATCAGCTGGCAGATACTTTGACAAAGCCTCTTCCTTCTAGACATTTTGCAAGTTTAAGAGCCAAACTCAGAGTTCTTGATTCAGTGACTCAAGACCCCTGAGTTTGCGGGGGTGTATTAGATATGTAGTTGTAGCTTCTTTAAATGTGCCTGCATGTATCAGATACTTTTCCTAGATCTGTTAGGTGTTAGCTGTCCGTTATCATTGTATTCAGTTAGTTAGATCATCACTCTATATATAGTGATAGAGTGCACATTGTACATTCAGATTACATAATACAATTCTTACATTCTCTCTCTCTTTCTCTCATCTATGGCTTCTCTCAAGAACTCGAATATATACAATATTTCAAAAAATTGACAACTTCCAATTTAGCAAGGATTAATATTAAATGTTGTATTAAAGAACAATAGAAATTCAAATCACTTGCCTTTTCTCTTTGGAAGGGGCTTTGTTCGCAAGCCTAGCTGTTTGTACAGCAGCATCAGCAGATGCAGCTTCAGGAGTAGCCCGCAGAATTTCACATATAAGTTGTTGGCATTCACTCTACAAAAAATGAGTGAAGAAATATGTTAGAGAAATATAAAATCATTAATGTAACCTCACCCAACAGCTTAAGCTTTTGGGTTGGATTGGTTCTTTACATGGTATCAGAGCCTCGATATCCTGGGTTCGATCCTCACCGCCCCCCACTTTCTCTTGTGAATTTTTCTTAGCACAAGTAGGTGGGCCTGTGCATTGTCTACCCTTTAAGCCCATTGAGCACTCGTGTGAGGGAGCATATTAGAGAAATATAAAACTATTAATGTAGCCTCACCCAACAGCTTAAACTTTTAGGTTGAATTGGTTCTTTACAAACTATAAGCTGGAAGATAAAATACAAATGGATTACAGCCAACATGCACTTTCAAGCATACATTTTAGAATATTTTACCTTTATAAGACAGGTCCTGTCTGTTTCATACAAATTAAACAAAATTATTTAGGTCCTGTTAGTTTCATATTAGTTAGGCCCTCCTTTGCCATTAACTGAAACAGAAACTTAATGTTTTTCTGTCACAAGCGGTTAAACAGAATATGACAACACAGGATGCTACATTTCACATTTCAGTCAGCAACAAAATCATCCTTTCACATTAATCGAATAACACATGAAGAGAGAGAAAAAAAAAAGACAGAGCTACAGGAAGAAAAAAAAAAGGTTTCACCAAAATCCAACAGGAAGTGTAATATTTTATACTGGTGTCTTGACACTCACTTAACATGCATGTCAATCCACTTTTGTTAGATATAAAATCATTCGGGAGCCTTTTTCTAAAATCATACAGCCAACATGCACATTCAAGCATACATTTTAGTGGGACCAAGACATCAACCGTGTTTAGCCATAATATAGATATTTCTTCAAAATCTATTATCAAACATCTTGCAACTTAATGGCCCACACATATAGAGACTACCTGTAACACTGTAAGGGAGAAACCTATGCTGTAACCTCCCACTACTTGAGATGCTTCAGAATCAGGGTTCCAGTTTACATCAACTGGCATTGATTTTGGTGTGTTCAAATCAACATGCTGACTGGATTTTGCTTCCAAAAGCTCCCCGACAACAACATGGTTCTCTGAAGAGAGACACGTGAGATGACAAATTTACTCTTAAGAATAATGATTAACCTGGAAAGAAGAATGCATAAAATCATTATGTCTCACCAAATATTCGAACAACAGCATCCAAAATTGAATCAAGAATCTCCTTCGCAGCAACCTGCGCTTTCCCACCAGGAGCCATGAGAGGTGACACAGGGCTCACAGCCAACAAAGTCCCAGCAATAGATATTCCATTCTTACGCTTCTGTTTTGGCAACTGATAGCTTTCCAGTTGACCTTTAATAAAGTGTAGATCTCCAGTAACAGCTCGGGAACCCTGACCAATGCTAGACCTTGATGAATTCAAAAGTTCTGCATGAGCTTTAATCTTGGATGTAATAATCTCATGAATTGTTGGCCGCAGTCTTTGGCTGGTATAGAATAAAACCAAAACAGCTTATACACCATCTTCACAGGCAAATATAACAAAAAGGATAATAATAAAATAAGATGAGACTTACACAGTCAACCCTCTCCCTCCCCCCAACAAAAAAGAAAAAGAAAAAGAAAAGGACATAAACAGAAGAGAATTGAACAGCCTAGCAGAAGAGGATTGATGTATCCAGTAACATGCAGACATGTCAACACCACAGTTGCAAAGCAAAGGTGTAAGGAGCAAATCTGACTACAATATGCAGAGTATAGCTCATTTGTGCCAATAAAGTGATTTGCATTTTAATTTCAAGTTTGTCCCAAAGCAAACCACTAGAACACATTCATAAAGGACAGAAATCCCAACAAATATTAATCAGGCTTGAACCAAACTTTCTTTCTAGAAATCTGCAGACTATTGCACAAAGTCTCTAACATATATCTTCCTTCAGGTACAGCATTCATAGACTTAAAACACTATAGCACTACCAACAACCAACAATCATTAGTTCAAGTGGTAAGGAGTTTGTTCCCCTTAACCAGAGATCTCGAGTTCAAGCCCTGGAAATGGAAAAAATGGTCTTGGAGAGCAGCCCCCAATATGGTCCGACATTGCTAGAATCAGACTAGTTGAGTAATCGATGAACCAGATGGGAAACTGATACAACTGGATCCAAAAAACAACAATAAAGAAAGAAGAACAGGGAATTTTGGCCCAGAAAGAACTCTTTGGAATTTCTGTGTATTATAACAACTGGAAATGACAATTACAGAAAATGAAATTTATCACAGAACAATTACTCTATTACAGTTCAATTCTTCCTATCACTACGAGTATACTGAAAAAAAGAAAGATAGGCTCAATACGTTAGATAGGTGTTGATCTCTCTCAATTCCAAGTCCCACGTCCAGTCTGAATAGCATGTGCAATGGCACCTGCCTCAAATAACCACCTCACCTCGTGCCATGTCATCATTCACTTCTCTCTCCTTACTAACAACTCTAACAGAATTTCTCTCCCTTCTTCCTTTTAGAATATTCACTGCTGAGTCAGCCACCCCAATTGTTCCTCTATGACGTTTTCTAGAGTAAACCTTTACTGCCATCGTATCAGAAACCAACAAAAAACACTATAGCACCCAATATCACCAATTATTTTGAGCATAAAGTAAGATAGTTGCTCACAAAATGCCAAAGAGTGATATTATAATTTCAGACCCACTGCTATTTAAGGGAATGTGGGAGATTGACAGCTACAAAAGCCAAATGGCCACATCCCTTCTACTAATTGGGAGGGTACCAGAATTCACAAAGTATGCATTGCATGAATTAGTACATCATTTCTTGGGTTAAAAGGAAAAAAATTATTAGAGCGATAAAAGAAGATACAAAAAGAAAGGATCACAATAGAAACATGTATGAAAATGGACTATAATTACTAGAAGAATGTCAGGGAAATAAAGAAACCAGAGAGATAGGGAAGGAGAATTCCGTTCTTCAGTTATGGAGAGAGAATGTACAAGAAGAATAATTCCCTCACAAGGGTAATATCCTTACAACTGAGAACCCTCATTATCAGTATCAGAGTTCAGAGAGAAAGTGATAGAAAGAGAGAGAAAAGGGAGAAAGAGTTTGAGAGAAATCTGAATTATGCTATTATGAATTGTTGAACATGTTTTGAAGCAACAAGCTCTATTGTTGAGTCCGATTCTAACTAACCATAATGTTATACTAACTACTTAACAGAATAGAGGGCGGATTCAGTACAAGCATGATCTTGACAAAGTACAAAGTGACACAGTACACGCGAAGCAATGAATGCTATTTATATACTATGTATGCCAATACAGTCCTCCTCTACTCTGCACAACTCCCTCTATTTAAGCTCTAACTAAGTACTGCTGTAACAAATTGTGTTAACTAACTAATCTGCTAACCTTCTACTATTTATTCCTTCTAGAATATACCCTCCAAACCTCATTATTAGGAGTTCGCTGGTGCCTAACAGATCACTACTTTGAAATAGGATAATTAGAAAATAAATTTCCAGAAGTAGTGTTGATGGTTGAGCTTTTATTAAATATAAATTCTGATGAAGAGTATCAAGCTGGCAACGTAAGTGTGCAAGTCAGTCTTGTAGTTAAACTTAATGAAAAAAGTAGATCCAAACCTTGAAAGTTATAGAATTAAACTCTTTAAGAGTGTCTTTAAAAAAGAATAAAATGTTATGAAGACAACAAACCATATTATAGCGCCAGCAGCTGCAACTTTGCCAAGCATGCAAAGGCACTCAACCATGGTCTGAAGATACTTTACATGAAGTGGAGCATCACTCTTTCTGATTGATTCCTATTGCCACGAAAATCAGAACTTCAGTTCGAAAGACTAAAAGTCACCAAAAATTCAAGAAGCAATGTTAATTCAATACAATTATGTGACTCATACAAGAAATTCATCAGGTGTCGAATTGGAAAGCCATGTTGGCATTTGCCGAAGAGCAATGTTGGCATCCTTTGGTACATCACTACCATTCATTCTCGTTGTTGTAATATTCCCATCTAAGGTAGCTTCCTCATTTAATTCCATAGCACCTTCCTCATCGTGGCCATCAAAAGAACTGAAACACATTTTACAATATTTAATATATGTATCTAATTATATTCAGCAACCACAATACCAAAGCACACACTAAAATGTACATACTGAAAAAATTGGAAAATTATCTATTTAAATCAATATTATATGCTTAAATCAATTAAAATTAGAGAAGAGGGCACGGCCCAAAGTATACATTAGGCAAATAGAAAGTTACACTAACCTAAGAAAGTAAACAACCACAAAAAAAAAGGAAATCACATGCCAAATCACACTACCAAAGATAGCATGGAACAGTATAACCAGTCTTCCAAAATAACATGGAATCAAATCAAGCTACCAAAGTTTCTCATCATGTACTGCAGGAACCAGTTTTCTTAGTTTCTTATGAGAGAACTCTAAAAAAATCTTTTCCATTCTTGATAAATAAGACAAAGTGCAAGGAATTTCGCAAAATTAATCTATCTACTATGAAAGCAGTCTTGCCTTAGCCATCAACAATGCAATGTACAGCAATAAGGAAATGTATGAAACTTCACAAGCAAATCATCAAAATGATTTATGCAGTTCAGAACAAAGGAAGAAAATAGCAGAAATAGTAATAAATTAAATTGACCAGTATTACCCTCCATCCACAGATCCTGGCCTATACGATCCATCATTCTGGAGACTAGTCTGATTGTCCCCTTTCACTAACCTTGTTCTTCGAGACAGGGATTGTGAATTATGTACAGTAAGTGCATCAGCAGTGGTGGTTGGTACTTCATCGTCATTCTCTAGCATAGTTGAGCCAGCGGCGCTGCACACACAACAGTTCAAACACATGACTTCACGAATATATAAATCAAACACAAAACTCAAGACTACAAACTCTAAACTGTACAGTCAGATTAAAATCTGCTGTACATTCCAGAACATCCTCCATGACATCCAATTATGTCCACACAAAAACAAAAGCAAAGAAAATAGAATTGAAAGTAACAAGAGAGAAAATAGGGCTTCAGAGTCTGCATGAGAATAGCATGTCAAGGTGAAAAATTTGCAGCAAATATGATCAAAAACTAGAAAAGAATTTCAGAAGTGAATACTCCAATATCTCACAGCAAGTTGTTCAAAATTAAAGATCAGAATGGAAAAGCAAATACCTATATTCACCCTTGTTGTATAAATGGGCATGCAAATCCTCCAAAACCTTATAAAAGAGGACTCCACGTAACTTTGTTAACTCAGAACGGACATCTTGAAGTGCCCCAACCTGGACCACATCAAAAATAATTATGACGTACAAAAAGCTAGTAGAAGTGTTCACAAAGATAATTAAAAAAGTGGAAAATATGAAAAATGGGAAAAAAAAAAAACAGAGAGAAAGAAATTGGAAGATTGACTTTTCTACAGAGTTCCATTTTGATGCTTACAAGTTACAACTAATGTCTATGTTGAAATTATCGGGATTTAAGAAGGGAAGGAAGAAAAAGAGAATAAAGACCGAATAATATGAAATTGATATTCATTTGATATGTTATGAAACAAACTACAAAGCACCAATTCCTATTTACAAAAATATTAGACTCCAAATCCTAATTAAATAAGGAAAAAAATAATGAAATATAAAAAAATAAGGAAACTATTCCTTGGAGATCATCTAAGTTACTCTAAACTATTCTAAGATACAATCAAGATATGAGAAATTTTTCATATATTCTAGAAGTCAACAAAAGCAAAATTGAAATAAATCTTCATTAATACAAAAGGGAAAAAATCCTGTTGGTTAAACATCATGGATAAATTTGATGCTATGCTTGGATATTATAAACTTCAATAGATCTATACCAATTACTCAATTGAAGATACAACCCAAAAAAAAAAAAAAATTAAGCAACAATAATCTAGATGTGAGATGCAGAATAGTCATATACTATTTAAGTTCAATACAAACTAAATGGGTGCAATTCTTACGGCCATCCCTTTACCTTTCCATATGTTAGGATAAGATTATGTTTACAGTCTCTCTAGTGCTTTGCCCACAGTCATGATCATTTTAAGGGAATGTTCATTTCTAATATGCAGAGGTGACAGATTTGATGAATACTTGTATTTTTTAGCCTCTATGGCTCTTCGTTTACTTTTGGCTTTAAGATACAGTATCGTCCCCCAACCATTACATTTCCACTTTCTTAAAAATAAAATAAAAATTCTTTAAACAAAAAACACAAACAAAAGCAGGTAATGAAAAATATAAGCCCTCTACACAAAACACACTGAAAAGAGGCAGTAAGTTGAAATCTTACAGTTTGGAGACCCCGTTCAAGCATCAGCATTGATTGCACATGCAATTGAACCGCAGCATAAAATTGCTTCTCTGAAATGAGCTTCTCGATACGAGCTGGAACCTGCAGCTTAGATCTTCAGAATCAAAACTCTAGACAGAGTAATTGAAAAGAATGCGTGTGCTAAACTGATTATCAAAAGAAAAACTTTAACAGAAAAAGTAAGCAGCAACAAATGTATACAAGCATGCAGATAAATTTTTCTCATTAGAGATTTTTTAAGCAGATATTTTAGGCTCTTATTTCCATGATTGAGCATTCAGGTCAAGTAGTTCTTTGACACAGTATTAGAACACGGTTGACCAGTTTAGAGTGGGGTGAGGGCAACACTTGTACACAGCCTTAACCTTGCACGTATGCAAAGAAGCTGTTTTCCGGATTCAAATTTATGACCTTTCAATCACAAAGAAGTAGCTTTTCCACCACTCCAGGCTCACTTTCTTCTTTAGAATAAGTTAGGAATCAATTTAAAATTATATATCTACACTTGAGATTGAGATAAGTATGTATTACAACTGTATAAGAACTATCTATTTAAAAAGACTAAATGACCTAATGAGCTAAGCCCACAACATGTGGGACTATTCTATTATACACTGAACTACTTTAATATACAATTCTAACACTCCCCCTCAAGCTTGTACGTATATATTGTGAGCACCCAGCTTATTACAAATGTATTCAACCCGAGACCTCTAAAAGCTTTAGTGAAGACATCTGCGAGTTGATCCTTGGAGTTGACAAATGCGGTATTGATTTCTCTTGACTAAATCTTTTCTCGAATAGTGACAATCGATCTCTATGTGCTTGGTTCTCTCATTAAATACAGGATTAGATGATATATGAAGGGCAACTTGATTGTCACAAATGAGTGTCATGGGCTGTTTCTGTTCACAAAGATAGAGCTCCCGAATCAACTGCTTTAACAAAATTAGTTCGCAGGTGGCAGCTCCCATTGCACGATACTTGGCCTCTGTAGTAGATCGGGCGAAGTTTCTTACTTTTCCAAGAAATCATGTTTCCTCCAAAGACGATACAATAACCTGAAGTAAACCGTCTATCTGAAAGTGATCCTGCCCAATCAGCATCTTAATAACCACAAATTTCTGTATGTCCTTGATCTGAATATAATAAGCCTTTCCCTGGTGCTCTTTTGATGTACCGGCATAGTTATCAAATGCGGATTGCGGCATGTCGCGGCAACCCCGAAAAACGCTATAGCATTATAGCGAGTTGCGGTTGCGGAAATAGCGGAATAGATATATGACAGAAATAATGACAAAAAGAAACATATTTTAAAAGCAGAGATAGCAGAAGTGACAGAGAGAGATGCGAATAGGCTAAAAAACCCTTAAATTTTTTCTGTTACACTTTTAAATTTAGGACAAAATTGACATTTTGCCTTATGACAGCAATATGGCTGCAAATGCGATCGCAATGGCCGCTATTGCGTTTCGATACGGCGCAACGCGGTTTCTTGCGGCAAGGCACCGCAACGCCCATGGGGGGCGGCTTGCGGCGCTATTGCGGCGCAATTAACTACTATGTGTACAGGAGGATCCTCACAACAGTATCCCAATGAGAATCACAAGGGGAGACAAGGAACTGACTAGCCACACTCACAGCAAAAGAGATGCCTGGCCTAGTCACAGTGAGATGATTGAGCTTCACAATCAACCTCCGATAACGTCCAGAATCAGATAATGGCTCCCCTTGTCCGGGCAATAATTTGATATTAGGATCCGTGAGTGTATCAATTGGCTTACACCCTAACATACCAGTCTCCTCTAAGATATCTAAGGTATATTCCCTTTGACAAATGGAAATGCCCTGTCTAGACTGTGCCACCTCAATCCCTAAGAAGTAACGAAGCTTACCAAAATCCTTTATTTGAAATTGACTGGACAAATATTGTTTTAATTGGTCAATCTCAGCTTGATCACTTCCATTGAGAATGATGTCATCAACATAGACTAACAGATAAACACACTTATCAGGAGAGGGGCACCTATAAAACACAGAACTGAAACGGCTGAACCACGCTCGAGGAGACTGCTTGAGGCCATATAAGGACTTACGAAGTCTACATACCATTCCAGACTCCCCCTGAGAAACAAAGCCAGGCGGTTGCTCCATGTAAACCTCTTCCTGTAAATCACCATGAAGAAATGCATTTTTAATGTCCAGTTGAAGGAGTGGCCAATGACGAACAGCAGCAAGGGCAAGAAACATGCGGACTGATGCCATCTTAGCGACAGGAGAGAACGTGTCACTATAGTCAAGGCCAAAAATATGAGTAAAGCCCTTAGCGACTAACCGCGCTTTGAGACAGTCAACATGGTCATCCGGTCTAACCTTGATAGTAAAGATCCACCGACAATCAACAATAGACTTCCCCGGAGGAGCAGGAACAAGATCCCAAATGCCATTGGAATGAAGAGAGGTCATCTCATCAAGCATCGCTTGGCGCCACCCTGGATGGGAAAGTGCTTCACCTGTGGTCTTAGGAATAGAAACAGAAGAAAAACTAGAAACAAAGGTGAAATGAGGAATAGAAAGACGGTCATAGCTCAAAAGGTATAAAGAGGATAAGGGTTACGAGTAGTACGTATACCTTTTCTTTGGGCAATGGGAAGACCCTCTGGTGAAGGATCCGGAGGGGAAGAGTCAACAGTAGAAGGTGATGAGTCAGCTAGGTTCAAGCCCAGGAGGCACAGTCTGACGATGCTAATAGGTGAGAAAAGGACAGTCCTCGAGGATAGAAGCAAGAGGTCGCTCCTCTGGGGTTGAGTCACCTGCAGCTAGTAAAGACAAGTCAAGAAAAGGAACAGGAAGAACCTGATCAACATGTGACAACTGAGATGGAATAGAATGAAAGGATTGTTGATTAAGAAAAGTGACATCAGCAGAAACAACATAACGCTTAAAATCAAGAGAATAATAACGATAACCTTTTTGAAGACGAGAATAACCAAGAAAAATACACTTAAAGGCTTTAGATGTTAACTTGTCCTTACCAGGAATGAGATCATGAACAAAACAGATACAACCAAAGACATGTGGGTATAGAGGATAGAGAGGAGCGTCTGGAAACAACAGGTTATGGGAAATGTCATTGTTAAGCACAGAGGAAGGCACGCGGTTGATGAGAAAACAAGAGACGAGTACTACATATGCCCAGAAGTGAAGAGGAACATGCATGTGAATAAGAAAAATGCGGGCAATTTCAATGAGATGTCTATTTTTACGTTCAACCACCCCATTTTGTTATGGAGTGTGAGGACAAGTAGTCTAGTGTAAAGTACCTTGTGTGACCAAGAAATTAGAAAAGTCAAAAGAATCATATTCCTTAGCATTATCACTACGTAAAATACGAACAAAAGCACCAAATTGAGTATGAACCTCAGCAGAAAACCTTTTATAAATGGAGAATAACTCAGAATGATTTTTCATTAAATAAACCCAGGTACAATGGGAATAATCATCAATAAACGTAACAAAATACCGAAAGCCTAAAACAGACAAAGTACGACTTGGACCCCAAATATCTGAATGAATAATAGAGAAAGGAGCATCAGCTCGTTTATTGACTCGATTGACAAAGGAGGTGTGTGCTTCCCTTGCTAACATGACAAACAATCTAAAGAATGAAGACCAGATAAAAGAGGAACCATCTTATGCAATTTTGAAAGACATGGATGACCGAGGCGACTATGGATAAGTTGTGGAGATTCTGTGAGAGAGCATACCACTGAAGGACGAGGCACAACCAGACAATAATGACCCTGTGACTCACGACCCACTCCAATCGTCTTCCCCGTACCCAAATCCAGCACAGAAACAGAATGGTTAGAGAAGATAATAGTACAAGCAAGGGAGTGGACCAATTTACTAACAAAAATTAATTTATAAGGGATGCTAGGAATATAATAGACAGATGTCAAGGTCAAAAAAAAGATTGGACGAGCTTGTCCAATCCCCCGAACAGGGGTTTTAGTGCCAACAATGGTAAAGGAAGGTAAATGATCAGAATAAATAAGAGATGTAAAAAGTTCCTTATTACTACAGAGGTGATCGGTAACACCTGAGTCAAATATCCAAGGACCAATTGATGTAGAATGAGAAACACAAGCAACAGGATTACCAGTATATGGAGCATAAGGTTGAGACTGAAGAAAAGCCTTCCTGAGAAGAGTCTGGAATGTTGCATAGTCTGTAGGATAGAGAGAGACTGAACCAGATGAAAGTAGTATCTGACTGAGCTATATTCGCAACATGAGAGGGTCGCAGGTGAGGATATTTCGTGTAACAACGCTCCTCATACTTTGTGTGAACAAGAGATGATTCTGCCATTATGAATGCAATAAAAACTTGCAGAACAAAGCAAATATAATCAAATTGATAGCCAAACAAGAAGAAACACGCGCTAAACAAGAGACCCACAAAGAACCAAAATCAAATCTAGAAGGAGACAAAACCGAGCAGATCTGTCCTGAAACGATCAAAAAAGGACGTCAGAACAGGGTCTTTTTTTTGCGATGAAGTGTTTCCGGCAGATGAACAGTAACTCCAGCGACACGAACGGTGGTCCTCGTTAAAAGTACCGGCGATGAACAGTACCCGAGACGTGAACAGTGTTTCCTCCGCTGTGACTGACAGTTGCAGAAACAAGCTAGAGGGACGCACAACGTACAAGGAGAGAACACCTAAGCAGTGTACTTAGGGTTTTAGCGGAAGCGAAAGTTCCTGAAACATATTTTCTCTAATACCAACTTGAGATTGAAATAAGTGTGTATTACAACTGTAAAAGAGCTCTCTATTTAAAGAGACTAACTGACCTAATGGGCTAAGCCCACAAGATTTAGGACTATTCTATTATATACACTGAACTACTTTAACATACTATTCTAATATCTACGATTAAACCATTGTAATCAATACTATTTATACTTACACTTAAATACATAGAGAATATATGTGTAATAGACACACAAATTCATCCTATCAAGTTTACTCTCTAACTTCAAGTTGGTACTGAAGGCTTATCCCTTGCTTTTCTGGTGCCATCCCTTAACATAATCATACGAAATCATTACATGAGCCATCTCGGGCCTACTTTAGAACATGGGTCCCACGTTTCTCATGTTTGTGGGACGCTCTCTAGCACGTCCAGATCTACCTAGTTATTTTTCACCATCATATAGGTGATTTTCCTATCTTTTGGTGAACCCCTTTAATTTAACACAATAAGGGATAACAATTATGATTTCTCTGAGACTATTTCCCCTAGCTCAGCTGCCAAGAATTCCGTTGTGCTCGCCAATATCCCTATCCTGTCAACAAATTCCGAATAGTGCTAATAGTCCCACTTTATCTCAGACCTTTCAGCGCCTGTTGAACATCCCTGATATGACTCCACTAGCATCTACTTAACCAACCATGCCAACACTTGATTCCTCTGTTGTTATCTCACAAGTTAATAATTCTGGGAGTAGTAGTGGTCGTGATCGTGAAAGACCTTGATGCTCTTTTTGTAATAAATTAGGACATTTGGAGGAGGGTTGTCGAGCGAAACATGGAAGACTAGCACAGCTAATTTTACTCAAACCGAGTCAACATCATCTGCTCCCAGTGTGACCATTCGTATTGTAGACTATAAGGCCTACCTTCATTTAAAAGCATCCTTGGAGACCTTTGTTGAACAAATTGGAAAACTCATTGCTTGCTTTTCTTAGTCATCTCTGGGACTAGCTATCCATATTTTGCATAGTGAATTTGCACGAGAATATGTCTTCTGACTTTTAGGAATTTTATGACACAAGGTATCTTGTATCAAACTAATTGTCCTTATACTACACAACAGAATGGAGTGGCTGAACACAAAAATTGACATATAATTGAAACAGCCATACTTTACTCTTGCATATGAATGTTATTATTCATCTTTTGGGGATGTTATTCTTACAACATATTATCTGATAAACAACATGGCCTCCTCTGTGTTAGATAACCAAATTCCTCATAATATATTATTTCCTTATACTTTTGTTTATCCTGTGTCTCATCATGTTTTTAGTTGTACTTGTTTTGTTCATAATTTTACTCTAGGGAAAGTCACGTTCACTGCAAAAGCGTTCAATATTTGTTCCTTGGATGTTTCCTTATTCAGAAAAGTTATTTGTGTTACCTTCTCGATCTAAGACGATGTCAAGTTTGCTGACATCACATTTTTTATCAATAAGCTTTCTCTCCTTCACCAACAGAGGTCTCTTAGGTTGATACTATATTCCCTATTCCTTTTTATGATCCTCTTTTGGCCTCCACCAGTAACTCTAGTCCTAAGTTAGTTCCTTGTCCTCTTATAACTTATGAGTGTCGATCTCGACCGCCTATTGCCAATCCTATGTTAGAGAATGTTCCTGATGTCTCACCATCTTCGGTTGTCGTTCTGTCAATAATGATTCTTGCAATAGAAAATCCACCTATTGTTCTTAGAAAGAGTAAATAATATACTTGTCATCCTAGTCCACTTTATGTTTTTCTCAGTCATAAGACTCGTGATCGTCTTTCTTCGCCCCACATGCCCTTTGTTTCTAGTCTATCTTTTGTATCCGTTTTTAAAACCACGGATAGATGAGATGTCTTCCTTGCACTCTAATGTCACATAGAATCCTACGCCTAAACTTATAGGAAATTTATTGTTGGTTGTCACTAGGTATTTACTATTAAAATTGGTCCAGATAGCTCTGTTACCTGGTTGAAGACCCATTTGGTCGCCAAAGAATACACTCAAATCATTGGTTTTGACACCTTTTGAATAGCTAAAATGGACCTTGTCCAATTTTTCCTTGTCATGGCTATTGTTTGTCATTGGGCTCTCTATTGATTGACATCAAGAAAGCCTCCATAGTGATTTACAAGAGGAAATTGACATGGAGTAACAATTGCCTGGCTTTACTGCTCAAAAGGAGTCCCGGTTGATGTCTATGCTTCACAAATCATTGTACGGCCTAAAGCAATCCCCTCGGGCTTAGTTTGGCCACTTTAGCACAATTGTTCAAGACTTCGCCATAACTTCTAGTCAAGCAGATCATTATGCTTTCAATCAGCATCAATCTCCCAACCTATGCATCTATCTTGTTTATGTGTATGGCATTGTTATTATTGGAAGTTACTTCGCTCGCATTGAACAATTGAAACAACATTTATTTCAAACATTTTTAGACAAAGGATCTTAGCAAGCTCCAACATTTCTTAGGTATCAAGGTGGCAAAATCTAGATATGGCATATCCATCACCATGAGGAAGTATGCTACAGACATCTTGGAAGAAACTAGCATGCTAGGATGCAAACCCATTGATACACAGGTAAAACTGCTACCAGGATATGGAGATCGTAATTAGATCCTTGTTATTGAAGGTTAGCTGGAAATTAAATTACGTCATAGTAAAGAGACAAGATCTTCGTTGTGAAGGCAAGATCTCCCTCAAATGGATGCTCTACTACATTCTTTTGGAGGAAACCTGATTCGTGGAAAAGCAAGAAGCACACGGTAATTGTCAAATCAAGTGCAAAAGATGAGTATCGAGCAACTGAAACTAGGACTTGTGAACTCATTTGGTTAAAGCATTTGCTTAAGCCTTAAAGAATTGAAAGTGTAAATCGCAGCCAATGAAACTCATGTGACAATCAAGTTGAGCTACGTTTATCTTCAAATCTTATATTTTATGAAAGGACTAAGCATATTGAGATTGGTTGCCATTTTGTTTGGGAGAAAATTTAGGATATAATGTGATAATAATTGTAATATCTAAAGATCAACTTGCAGATATTTCCACTAAGGATCTTAAAGGCCTCGATTCAACTATATATGTGACAAGCTTGGCACATAAGGAGCACTAGAATATTTTTGGTATTTATGGTAGGATATCACATATATATTGAAGAATCAATTAGGAACCAATTTTGGATTATATATCCGAGATCAAATCATTATAATCAACACTAGCATCAATAAATATAGACATATGCATGGACTATTACAAACGCACAAATTTATCCTATTGGGTTTATTATTTAGCTTCAACTATAATAGCACTTAGTTTCAGTTGCAGAAAATTGATAGCCTCTATTTTATCTCCATTCCAAGCCCAATAGGCTCTCATATGAATTGTCATGTTTGAGCAAATAATTCTTGTTCCCTAACTTAATGAATAAAGTTTTAAGGTCAAGTGGTTCTTTTGACAGTTGAGAATCACTACAAAGATTTCAGATAGATAGCACAGTCTATATAATTATTTATTCTTTTGAAATTGAAGGAACACTCTATATAAATACATGAAACTGCAAATGCAAGCATGCAAATACATTTATCTGTTTATTCAACGGCACAAACTACATAAGTAGCATAAAGCAACTCCAACTCAGGCCATTTAAATCAGAGCAAGCTAGTATAAGTTTAAATGATGGAACTGGGACTGCATTAGTCTCATCAACTGAAAAAAGTCACAAAATTGGATTAAAAAATGTCTAAAATAAAGGATGGACCTTAGCAATGCCTTCAATTTGATCCAATAGGGATATTATGTGTCGCAGTGTAACTGACCGATACCATAATTGATGCAATTGCTTATTGCGGGCACTAAGGCGCTTCTTTGCCTCTGCCAAATCTACCTTTAAGACAGCTATACTTTCAGTGGATTCACTGAAGAGCCTCAAGATCTGGAGATAAACAAAACTTTTATTGAAAACAAAATCATAATGAAATGCTAGTCCTAATTCAGCTACACTCTAAGATTTAAACAAGATGAAAGAGGGAAGAAGCTGAAGAAATCCAGTTATCGTTGAAATTGTTTCAAATTCTAACAGGAAATTGAGGAACCACAAACAATTTCAATTATTGCTAACTAGATTTTGTTAAATAAAATCTTAACATAGAATATCCCTCATTCTATTTAAATATAATGATTCCTTCATAACTTTTCATAAAATACAAGAACTCCCCGCTAAGATTGTTTCTTTGTTTCTCATATTTCAATATTGCATTGCAGATCACATAACAAAAAGCATCTTAAGATTGTAATGAAAACTATACAAAATAAATAAATAAATTATAATATATGGTCAGAAACAAAACTATAGACGTTATAATTATAAAAAAAAAGTGAAAATGAGAAATGGAATAAAAATCAATAAAGTATAACCACAAATGCTTGAAATGAAGCCAAGTACAAAAAATGTTACTTGAGAAAAGATTTTTTTTGTTGTTGTTGTCTTATAACTAAAACATTTATCAGAAAGAGAGATATCTTGTACAAAGCAGCAGCAGCGATGACAACGATCTAAACTTGACAACATAATAAATGGGGGGGGGAAAACTATAATCTGAAGGTGGATCTATACATGAATACACATAATCAAACAAGGTGGATCTATACATGAATACACATAATCAAACACCCAGTACTTTCAATGTAAAATGTTAATTAATGTAGCTTCATGTCACGAGTTCGATCATCACCACCCCCCATTTAATTAATAATTAATTCAGTATTGTGGAGTTTCTTAGCACAGGTATGTGGGCCTGTGCATTGTCTACCCTTCAAGCCCAATGGGCTCTCATGTGAGGGGCGTGTTAGAGTTATATAAAACTATTAATGTAGCCTCATCCACCAGCTTAAGCTTTTGGGTTGAATTGGTTTTTTACATAAAATGACACAGTTGTCCCCGGGCAATTTATAATCAATAAAATAATCATAGAGAATGAAATCTTAAGAAACCTGGGAATAGTTTTGGATAGCTCTGTTGAAACCACTGTGATAAGTTTGTACAACTTCATCCACGACCTCCTCAATAACATCACTTTGCTCCTTCAAAAATTGGGCAGCAGTTTCACGATCCTTTGATGTCAAAATGTGGACAACATGAGGTAATGAATCAAAACGAGGAGCAGCCCAACTCTCATCTACTCTAGAGAGTTCTTCTCTCAAATACTGCATTCAAATGGAGCACACTCAAATTGTCATGAATGAATATACAGTGTAATGCGAGACTAAGTGCAGTAGAAATACCATATCAATAAAAGTTTCAGAACAAATAATTTGGACTTCTAATTTATAAATTTGCAGTAAAGAATAAATAACAATAAACCATTCATAGAGTGCGTAAAATAAGACACATGGTCAATATATATATATATATATATATATATATATATATATATATATATATATATATATATACACTACAGATAATAGTTAGACCATTTTCAATATAATGATTCCACATTCAAGTTATAAATTGATTTATCCTTTATCCAGTATTTAGGGTATAATACTCAAATTGTATCATTGTGATAGGAAACTGATATAATAGAGATAACGAACAAGGGAAAATACTGCAATTAATAAAACTGGTTTATACAATACTCTAACCTTAAGTTACAAAATTAGAAAAGATGACTATTACAGAAAGGAAAATATTATAATAGGATTCCCCCAAATGTTACTACTACCCAGGACAGTTGGAGAGGCCCTGGTTCTCACCTGAATTCAATACCAAATGGTCCCAATATTTCCAAGATGCTTTTACACACTTCACATTCCCCATCCTATACACAGCCTAACCCCCTAGAATATTCTAAAGTTAGTTATGCCACCACATTGGTAAAACATAATCCCCTACTACCAACTTTACATACACCTACATGAGTATATATATTCCCATCACATTGTTTCGGACAAAATTGTCAGTGTGACTGTACATGAAATTAAATCTTAGAATGGAGAATGATTGACTTGAAAAAAGGGTAAAATTACTTGAATGAGTCTACACTCAGCAGACTGTTTTCATATATATATATATATATATATATATATATGAAGGCAGTAAGTATAACGGGAATTTACAAAAACAAAAAAATAATAATATAAAAATCAATCCTAGTTTCCATCATTTTCTATTGTTGCACTAACTATTGGAACAAGTTCTAACAAAATGTTAATTTTAACACTCCACCTCAAGCTTGTGCATATATATCATAAGCACCCAGCTTGTACGCATATATGTTATCCTTGGAGCTCAGAGAGATTTAGTGAGATCAGTCAGTTGATCATTGGAGTTCACAAAGGAAGTAGTGATTTCTCCCGGGACAATCTTTTCAGGAATAAAATAAAAGTCAATTTCTACATGTTTGATTCGTTCATGAAAAACTCGATTAAAAGGAATGTGGAATGTTGTTTCATTGTCATAAATTAGAGTCCTAGGCCCTATCTCACAAGCTTAAATTCTTGAATAATTTGTTTTAACCATATGAGTTCACACTTAGTGAGAGCCATATCTCAATACCCTGCTTGGATCTAGCAAGTACATTATGTGGTTTGCTTTTCCATGAAATAAGATTCCTTCAATAAGAACACAATACCCAAAGGTTGATCTTTTTATTGAAAAGAAGTTTTTGTATATTGATATTGAATAATTTACATGAGTGAGTATTTATACAAGAAAGAATCGCTAAGAATGACTAAGCGATGACTAAGCAATGACTAATCAATCCTAATCACAATCAATTCTAATCAATCACAATCAATCCTAATCAATCATAATCAATCCTAATTAATAGGAAATAAAAACGGAAACATGTTTGAATTCTGATTTTCTACACTCCCCCTCAAGTTGGGAGGTAAATATTGATCATTCCCAACTTGCCAATCAAGTCTTCGAATGCTGGACGGTGTAGGCCCTTGGTAAGGATATCTGCCGTTTGCTCTTTGGTCGGAACATATATCAAACGCACACTTCCATCATCTAATTTTTCTTTGATGAAGTGACGATCAACTTCCACGTGCTTTGTTCGATCATGATGCACAGGATTTTGAGCAATGCTAACAGCTGCCTTGTTGTCGCAATATAGTTTTATTGGTAGGGAATATGAAATCTTCAACTCTTGAAGAAGTCTTCTCAACCAGATTCCTTCACAAACTCCATGAGCTAAAGCTCGAAATTCTGCTTCAGCACTACTTCTTGCAACCACTGTTTGCTTTTTGCTTCTCCAAGTAACAAGATTTCCCCACACATAGGTGCAATAGCCTGAGGTAGATTTCCTGTCTACTGATGAGCCTGCCCAATCTGCATCAGTGTAGATTTCAATTGTCCTTTTATACCCCTTTTTAAAGAATAATCCTCTTCCTGGAGTATTCTTGAGGTATCTAAGCACCCTATAGACTGCACTAAGATGCTTCTCCTTGGGTGAGTGCATGAATTGACTAATCATACTCACCGCAAAGGCAATGTCAGGACGCGTATGAGATAAGTAGATTAGTTTACCAACCAATCTCTGATATTGTTCTTTATCCACCTCATTCCCATCTTCAATACCTAACTTGGTATTAGGTTCCACAGGTGTCTCAGCAGGTTTACACCCTAACATTCCTGTTTCCAACAAAAGATCTAGAACATATTTCTTTTGTGTTAGAGTGATGCCTGTTTTGCTCCTAGCAACTTCCATACCAAGAAAATATTTGAGAGTGCCAAGGTCTTTGAGTTCAAATTGAGCTGCTAGAAATTTCTTCAAGGTGTTCAATTCCTCAATATCATCACCTGTAAGAATTATATCATCTACATATACAATAAGAATAGCAATTTTACCATCCTTAGAGTGTTTGTGGAAGAGAGTATGATCAGTCTGTGCTTGAATGAAGCCTCTTCTTTTGACTGCTTGTGTGAATTTGTCGAACCATTCTCTGGGAGATTGTTTCAATCCATATAGAGACCTTTTTAGTTTACACACTGATCCTTTTCCCTTTTCAAAACCAGGTGGAGGATCCATATAGACTTCTTCATGTAAGTCACCATTTAGGAATGCATTCTTCACATCTAACTGTTGCAGAAGCCAATCTAGATTGGCAGCAAGAGATAAGAGAACTCGGATGGTATTGACTTTAGCAACCGGAGCAAAAGTCTCATGATAATCTATCCCATGAGTCTGAGTGAAACCCTTTGCAACCAATCTTGCCTTGTATCTGTTGATGCTATTATCTGCATTGAATTTTATTGTAAACACCCATTTGCATCCTACTGCCTGTTTTCCTTTGGGTAGGGTCACTATCTCCCAAGTTCCATTTCTTTCTAAAGCATTCATTTCTTCAAAGACAGCATCCCTCCATTTTTGATCATTGAGAGCCTCATGTATATTTCTCGGTATCTTTGTACTATCCAACATAGTATTGAAAGCACGAAGCCCAGGGGACAACTTTCCATATGAAATATGATTAGAAATAGGATGAGTAGTACAAGATCGAGTACCTTTTCTGAGAGCAATGGGCAAGTGTAGATCATTTTCACCATGACACTCAAGTATTGGGGTGCTGGAACTAGAACATGGTTCAGAATCCTGGCAGTGTAGAGGCTCTGGGTTATTCACACTTTGAGGAGGCTTTCGCCTGCTATAAACTTGTCCCCATTTTGAGGAGGCTCTTGATGGTGAGGATTCTGTAGCTCCCCCTGTTTCCAAAAGTAGAGGTAATATCGTGGCATCAGTAGGTTCCCATGACTGATCTTCATCTACTCCTATAGACTCCCCCTGAAGAGAAGTCGAGGGGAAGAAAGGGTCATTCTCAGAAAAAGTGACATCCATAGAGACAAAGACCTTACGAAGAAAGGGTGAATAACATTTATAGCCACGTTGAGTAGGAGAATAACCAATAAAGACACACTGAAGAGACTTAGGATCAAGCTTAGACCGTTGATGGGAGGGAATATGGACAAATGCAACGCAACCAAATAACTTGAGAGGTAAGGAGGAGACACCTTGGAAGGAAGGGAAGATACGAACAAGACTAGAAAGAGGAGACTGAAATTTCAGAATGCGAGATGGCATTCGATTTATCAGATACGAGGCAGTGAGAACTGCCTCTCCCCAAAGGTATTTAGGAACACTCGTGGTAAACATAAGAGCCCGAGCAACTTCAAGGAGATGTCGGTTTTTTCTTTCCGCAACTCCATTTTGTTGGGGTGTGTCAGGACACGAGCTTTGGTGAAGGATGCCATGTTGGGAAAGATATTCTCCAAGAATAGAGTTAAAATACTCTTTGCCATTATTTGTACGAAGAATTTGTATAGCAACTTGGAATTGGGTTTGAACCATGGCATGAAATTTTTTAAACACGGATACAGCATCGGACTTATCCTTTAGAAGATACACCCAACAGACTCGAGAATGGTCATCAATGAAGGTAATGAACCATCGAGTACCTGAAATATTTTTAACACGGGCTGGACCCCATATGTCACTATGAATTAAGGAAAATGGGGAAGAGTCATGGTGAACTTTAGAAGGATAATAAGCACGAGTATGCTTGGCAAGTTGACAAATATCACAAGAAAACAAACTTGGACTTTTATTAATAAATAAGTTTGGCAACAACTTCTGAAGATAAATAAAATTTGGATGGCCAAGCCTACGATGCCACAACATAACATCATTACTTGAATCAAAAGGAAACATAGAGTTTTTTTCTACGAAAACAGCTTCATGAGTCACATCCTCCTCAAAGTAGTAAAGTCCACCATCCTCTCTAGCACTGCCAATCATCCTCTCCGAGTCCTGTTCCTGAAAAACACAACCATGTGGAAAGAATTTAGCAAAGCAATGCAACTCAAAGGTGAGCTTGCTAATGGAAATGAGATTACAAGTCAGAGAAGGAACATAAAGAACTGATGTCAAAGTAATCAGCTCAGAAAGTTTAATGGTTCCGTGTCCCGCAATCTGGGAAAAACTGCCATCGGCGATCTTGACCCGAGAAGGTTCAGAATATGGAGTGTATGAACAAAACAAGCCAAGATTACCTGTCATATGATCAGAGGCTCCAGAATCAAGGATCCAATGATTTTGACTATCAACATGGAAAGCTATACCTTGTTGGACCACATGACTAGTGGCCTTAGAAGGGGTGATGAGGAGGCGGAAGAGTGTTTTGGGGAAGCCATGAATAGG